AAACCCTCACAAACCACCACAAACCATCACAAACTCTCACAAATCACCAGAAACCAACACAAATCACCACACCATGAGGAATGGTGTTTCATTTTACACACTGACATGGATCCACTGGGGCAAGGAGTAAACGCTCTGAATTAATTTTATTTCACTTTATTGTAACACTTTAAGGTACAGTATTATTTACTACTTTTTAAAACGATTTTATACTTTTGAGTACAAACAGTGATAATAATTCTGATTACATTTAACGATTAACTTTTATATATAGCACCTTTTTTGTAATAAAATATCGAGGTGCTTTACAGTATATGAATAAAAAAAAAATAAGAAAAAGAATTTAAATATTAAATTAAATTAACGAACAAAAATGGTGTGAAAGAAAAACAGATACAACAAAAATAATTATGAAAAAATGAGAAAAAAGATGACGGTAAAGAGCCGGTGCTCTCCAAAATTATTGGCACCCTTCATTTAAAATGAGCATTAATTAATTAATATCTAAAAAAGAATAACAAAAAAAATCAATATGTGATATTTGAGCTTAGAGACTTTCAAACATAAAATAAGGGTTTCTTTGAAGTAGTGCAATTTCACAGCTGAGAAAACAGAAATATTTGCTCACAGTGCTCTCTGCTGGTCATTTCTGATATTACAACATGAACTTCTTCTGTGTTCGAGTTTATAAAGATCTCTAGGGGACAAAATCTGATGATTCGAGGTGAGTTCCAAGATGAAATATGTGCTGTGATTAGCTCCTAAACAATCACACACACACACACACACACACACACACACACACACATGATACACATAAACACACATGTTCCTGAAATACAGAATTTTTGTATAAATAAAGGAAACAAATCTTTTATTTACACTATTTATACTAACTTCAGAAATTCTGTAAAACATTTCTTCAGTAACTATACAGCTTTACTTTTTTAAATATCATAATTTACTTCATAGCTATGGAAATATATTAAATAACTAAATTAGGCTGTGAAAGAGTCCATGTGTGTTTTGTTTAACTTTCTGCCTTGTGATGGTGTGATTTAATGCAGTAAAGTAATAAATTCTCCAGGGACGTCTGGTCTGGCGTAAAGAAAACTGATGTAAACGCTTGAAAAGGATTTGATGCTTTTCAGTTTTTACTCTCATTTGAATTCAGTCTCGAACTAACTGTTTAGTCCAGTTCTGAGCTAAACAACTGAGCAACTGGCTAACGATATAAATTCCGCAATCATCCACATCGTCCTGAATATTTCCTGTTTACGCAAGTTGAGATTTAGACCGTTTTGTAAAAATGTGAGAACAGACTGAATGTCTTTACCGAATATCGACATTGTCTCATCAGACAGAAAGCGTATAATCTTTAATCACGCTGATTAGATAAATCAATCGTTTCATTTTCAGAACAGCTTCATACGCCATTTTGCATCTGCGTCTTCTGAGAACGCTACAGTGATCTCGACTCGATCGCGCATCTGACAAACTTCACCCGAGCTGATAAAGTAATAAACAGGCCGCAAGACGCTCGAGCGAGGGGAGGTCAATGAAAACGTGTTAAGATTGTACTGGAACACAGCCTGATTTTTGGCTGCACCAGCATTAC